CCTTCATTACAATGGATTTAAAGATTAAAAGATTGTGTTTCCTTACAAAACTCTGTTACTTATGGAATGTTTGCATCTGTTTAAATCCTCTGGGGTCCAATGATGACAACGATGTATCATGCCTATGGAGATTCTCAATCAACCAGGTCACTGTTGTCACAAAGGTGTTTTTCCAAAAGGCAACTGGACTTTCTTGGTTTTTTCCTTAAAAACATTTAGCTTTTCATCCACAAAGCTTTAATCTTTAGCTGTAGTTCTTTACAGCTATCGGTTGCATGACATTTATATTACAGGTGAGATGATAAAATAGCTTTTGCTATAATCCTTTACTTTGAATATTCAGCTTTAGTTGAAAGACATGGTTAAATGATGTTAGGACCTGCTGTTTGACTTCCCCAGTTTTAATTGGCTGCTATTTGAGAATTTGAACATGGTTTATGTGCATAGGGAGTTGCCTTATCCTGGGCTCAACACTGTGTTAACTCATAATTGGTATAATCCTGTTGAATACAACATACTAAGCCAAAACCTAAGGTAGAGACACTAATTGGCACCTCAAATGACTGGGAGGACTTGGCTGAAGTTGTTGGCTGTATGAATATGTCTCAACTGGGAGATTCTTCCTAGCTGCAGCAGTAGAACAAAGAAACCTCACATATTAATACATTTAAATTGTGTTAAATTTTTTTTAAAAAAAATCTTCCCCTGCACCTGCGAATATAATTATATCAGGTTAAAGCTTTGTCTGGCTTGGATTCAAAAGTAAAAGTAGAATCATGGAAAATAAATCATCTACGAGTGTGGGCAGATTAAAGTCATTGTCATCATTTCCAGGACTGGTAAAACCAGTTGGTTTGTTTCTGTAGGGTATACAGAAATAAAATAATATTCTGGGTATTGAGAGCATGACTTTTCCTTAAGAGTAAAACCAGACTCAGCAAGAGTATCAGGAATACTTTTGCAGGTCAGGACTGCAAAAAATCCAGAAACGATGACATCATATTCTCTGCTGCCGAGTAGCGACAATCCAGATTTTTAAAGCAAGAATGTAATAGACCTAATAATGGCCTCAAGGACTTCAGTGTGATGGACTATCTTCTAATCAGTGAGAGTCCAAGGCTCATCAGCTTTTGAAGAAAGGCCAGATTCTTGGCATCTCTTCTGTGCAAGGCTTAATAAAGCATAATATCCATGAACTCTCCTGGAGCCTGAGGGCTGCACCAAAGAACTAATATATGCCACTGATTATTTACAGCTCCTCAAGATTGTTCTCCCTTTGGCCCTTTTCACAAAACCCACTGTGACTGTCCTATTTTTGTCAGATCCTCTGTCTCCCATACTTGTACATTGTTCCAATTACCTCTCTTCTCTTCCTGGTTTTGCAAAAGCTGCCCTTGGGTCTTTCCTTGCCTTTCTACTTTCTGATCCCTCCTGACTCTTTTATTATCGTGAGGCTCCTGCAGATACTGCCGTTGAAAAGTGGCACGTTCAGTTTCTGGCATGTGGAAATTCAAGAAAAATGTGTGTTTGTGGGGATTGTGTGACTTAAAAGACTAGTAATTCACACCTTCTTTTTGCTCAGGAAAACAACCATTTCCTACAAACCCATTCATTTTCTCCTTGCCCCAATTTATTTTTAACACAGGATACTGACCCTTCTACAGGTAGTTTTCAAATTACAACAGTTCATTTAGTGAATGTTCAAAGTTACAACGGAACTGAAAAAAAGTGTCTTGCAACCAATGCAGCATCCCCATGGTCATTTGATTTACATTCAGATGCTTGACAACGGGTTCGTACTTATGACGGTTGCCGTGTCTTGGGGTCACGTGATTCCCTTTTGCGACCTTCTGACAAGCAAAGTCAATGGGAAAGCCAGATTCACTTAACAACCATGTTACTAATTGAACAACTGCAGGGATTCACTTAATAAAAGTGGTGAGAAAAGTCATCAAATGGGGAAAACTCCCTTAACAAATGCTTCATTTAGCAATAGAAATTTTGGGCTCCATTGTGGTCGTAAGTCGAGGACTACCTGTACAAGATTGAAAACATTTCTCTGTCTTGTAAGTATGATCAGTTGGTTTTATAGCATGGTCTGTTTAATTACTCTGTAATAACTTCTCTGACTTTCTTTAAAAACTCAAGTCATTTGTTCTTTAGGTTAAAGACACATTTGGAAACAGATTCTATACATTTCTAGGTCAGATTAAATAGTTCATTAGAAAGCTCTCTGTTTCTAATTAGGGGTCTATATGAGTAAGGAAAAGCACTTGTTGATCTTTCAGTTTGTAAAGCCAGAACAGGGTTGCCCAAATCAGCTGAGTGTAACCTGAATTCACATTTAATATGTTCTGACATGAAAGGTGCAGACAGAAGCCATATGTCTTCATGCTCACATTCCTTGGGAGATTTTGCTAGAGAACCTGACAAGGGAATTCTTCCCCAGAATGTTAACCAAGCAACCAAGTCTCCAGTAGGGTATCCAAGAATCATTAAGCCTCCTAATACAATCTCTTTAAATGATTCTTTTATCAGTAGTAGAGAATGAATGAGAAGCAAAGAAAAGTACTAGCTTCTAACTTAATCTGCATTTCTAGCAAGGCCTGAGCATGCCCTGCCCTTTTCAACTAGAGTTATTTACTTAGTGATTACAGGGTCATAAATCCAACAGCAAAGGAATAATTATGAACACAGTTAAGGTTAAAGAAGAACAGAGTTTCTAGTAGTATCTGAAAACTGTGGGGCAAAGCAGGATTTTAGTTTTGAGCCAAGCTTCACAGTAACAGCTACAATTTGGGTTTAAATACATTACAGACCTAGAGATTTCAGAAACAAACGAAACAACACAGCCGGTTCCATATTGAATGGAAAACTATAATAAACCAAAAGGCTGAAAGCTAAAATCAATAGCTCCACCCCTCCATCCTGTTCTATCATCTCAACCAATAGCAAACCTCTTCTGGAACATGGTTAGGAAAACTGCTCATCTTCTTCCAGGTCATCTTTAGAAAATTGGGCAGACATCAAAAATTTATTCCACCATCAGGCTGCACTTAGCTGGGATCTTGAATATTGCTGGGCTACAAATCCTATAATTCCCAATCAGCCCAAATGATGGGAGCTGGCATCAGCATTATCTGGAGCCCATATGAGCAATTCAGCTTCCCAAAGTACAATATCCATATTAAAATTAACTATTTTTCAAAGAATAGGCTAACTTGGCAGCAAGCTTTCTTTTGTGGGCAAAAATTATTTCTTGTATGTGGAGTAAGATTACATAACTTTATTTTTATGATTGCATGTGGAAGCATTCTATATTTTTTAACTACACACCTAAATCTACAATGCAGGAATAATACAAGGATGTTTTGGAACACCAGGCAGAAATTTAACCTAAACAACCCAAGTTTATTTTTCAGAAAAGCTTCCCTCTCAAGTATCTGTATGTTGTTTTTAGTTACTAGGTCCATCTAGATCTGATGCTATATTAAAGTCTCTGCAGACACTAAAGTAAAAAAAAAAATACACTGAAAGAATTGGCAATTGGAAAGTTTGAATGGAGTTGACACATCCTCTCTGCCTTTCACAAGCAAAGAGTGTTGAGCATTGCAACAATAAATAGAATTTCACAGTAACACCAAGAAGGTCACACCCTTTGGTGAGTCTCTTTGCTTCTTCTAGAAAGAATGCATTGTTGAGATGGGTGTGGGAAGACTAAATAAATATCTCCCCTGCACGTATTCCTTAAAACGATTGTAGATTCATTTCCGGGGAGAGAGGGACAGATCCCATTTTTTACCAGCCACATGAAACAAGTTGCCCTAAACTGTTCAGAGAGTGAGCAGCATGCACAGGGTCCAAATACAATTTAAACAATAAACAAGGGCATTTTATGAATGTCTGAGTAATAAAAATAATTGAGCCATTCTTAACAAGTGCTGCCATTCAGCCCTCTGTCAGGATTATCGCTGGAGTCTTTCACCTTTGCTTTTACAGGCAGCACAGACCTACCTGATCTTCTCATGTCCACATTATCTCTTCAGGGATCTGAACTTGCAAATGGAGCAGAGCTTTGCCTGCTGCTTTGGCGAAAGAGGAACTGGCCGACACAGTCCAGCTCACAACTATTTAGGATACCTAAGGGAGGACCAGTCCTAAATTGAGTACGTGCAATGGTATTTCCAGAGTCAGTAGTTGTCAGGTAGGAGTTATCTGTGCCATGACAGTAGTTTATTTATTTTCCTATTTTATTTATTAAATTTCTACGCCACCCTTCTCACCTAAGTGACATAATTGTGCAAATGATGCTAATTATGCAATATGCATTAACTGCATCTTTTGCATAATGACAGCATCACAAATGCTCTCTCTCTCTCTCTCTCTCTCTCTCTCTCTCTCTCTCTCTCTCTCTCTCTCTCTC